CTGTAAAGATCGGGGTCTGTGTTCCAGACCGGACGAGCAGCCCCCGTCGGGGCCCGGGGCGGGTCTTGGAGATGCTGTGTCTCTTGCACGGATGCGTCAGCCGGGGCGTTGGGCGGCAGGCTCCTCGCCTCACTCCCGGGCCCTGGTGAGCTGCAGGGTGCACGGCAGGCGGTCCACGGCCGTCCTTTCCCTCACGAAACACGTGGGGAGCATCTACAGAGTGTACCGTCTGGGGGGCTGTTATTGGTAAATGACGCCATCAAGCTCCTTGCCGGTGAGAAACTTAGGATCTCCTTAAACGGCCAGTGTCCCGCAAGATGTGAAAATATCGTTATAAAATGCAGTAAGGAAGGTAAAGAGGGGAGGTGGAAGGGGAAGTGGTCTTTTGGCTCAGCCAAGTGGGGGCCCCCTCCTCCCCTAGCTAGGGCCAGGGACTGGCGGGGTCCTCCGGTCTGCTTCATACGTGCACTGAACTTCCTGCTTGTCGGCCAGCTTGGGGTCATGCCCATCCCTGCAAGGCTGCCTGAGTCAGCATTATAGCTCCCATTTATTGACTGGGGGGTGGAGAGGTTGCCACCCAGAGAGGGTAGGAGCTTTGCCTTGGCTTGCCAGCCTGCAGGAGGCAGCAGTAAGCCTGGAAGTTGCGTGCTCAGCCCAAGGCTTCTGTTCGCCTCATGCGCTGCCCTGCTCTGGGTGGGGAAGGAGCTTTGTCTGGGTCCCCCGGGGACTCTCCCTGGGCTTATGGTGATGCTGGTGACCTGAGTGCTGCTCAGCCAGGCCTAGGGTGACGTGAGGAGGGGCTGAACAGAGTCTGCAGGTGTTTGTTGGTTGTCTGAAGGGGACGCCACAGCTAATTCCATCTCTCCCTCATTGCTCATCCCATGAGTGGCACCACAGGCCCAGCTGAGAGCCAGGCTGGAGGTCACCCAGCAGCAAGCCGCCCAGGCCAAGACCCAGCTACAGGAGCTGCAGCAGCAAAAGACCCAGATCCAGGTACAAGGACTATCCGTGTTCCACTCATGGTGTCTTCATGCTGTGTCCTGTGAGCAGCCACCAGTTGGTCTGTGGGTCACTGGGCATCAGCTGTGAGCTACTTTGAAAATGCCCCCTGCGCCAGGGAGGGAAGGGCTGAGCAGGAAGCTGGACATGAGGAGTTGGAGGGAGGTTCCTGGGACCTTGGCTCCCCATGTTTCCACCTCTCAGCCCAGTGAGCAGCCTGACCTTGACTTGCCTTGGTATGGCGCAGGCCCTGGCCACCCTGAGTCCCCTCCTGTGCCCACCCAGAGCCTGGCCTGTTCCCTGGCCTCCTCAGTCTCCGGCAAGATCAGCAGCCTGCTACAGGCCCTGGAGATGCGGCGGGCCATGGTGCTGAGGGACGTCGAGACAGCCAAGACACAGGCACTGGCCCAGGCCCAGGGCAAGGAGCAGTGGCTGCAGGGCCACTTAGAGGCCCTGGCTCACTATGAGCACAGGATCCAGGAGCTCCTGGAGCAGGCAGATGATTTGACCTTCCTCCAGGTACCAGGCCTCAGGGTGACAGGGGGACCTGCCTGCCTGCGCTTTGTGCCTGTTCTTACCACAACTGTCCCTGGGACTCAGGAATCACAGGTGCTCAAGCCCCCAGAGTCTCTTGGGCCGCTGACCCCTCTGCAGTGGGATGAAGACCAACCGCTGGGAGACCTGAAGGAGTTGCTGAGCCGCCTGTGTGGCCTCCTCCTGGAAGAGGAGAGCCACCCTGGGGCACCAGCCACGGGTGCTGACTTAGGCCCCGTGGGTAAGGCTGACCCCAGACTTCCCCATCCCTCTGGGCCCAGCTGTCCCTCCTGCCGGGGGATGGGAGCGGGGTCAGGGTCCCCCTCCCCTAACACTGCTTGGTCTCCCAGAGGCTCCAGATCCCCTGGTACCGGTCCCGAGTGAAGTCTGTCCCCTGAGGAGGAAACTCTGGCAGAGTAAGGAGGCCCAGTGCATGTGTATGTGTGTACCTGTGTGTGCGTGTGCAGGTATGTGTGTGCACGTGTGCATACACGGTGAGCATACTTGGATGTGTGCGCATATGTACACCTGTGTGTGCATGTGCTGTGACTGTCTTGTCCAGGACGTCTGGCCTGGGCCCACCCCTGCACACCTGTTGCAGGACATACACCTCCTTCATATCCTGTGTGTCCACCCAGATACAGCCAGCGTAGTATTTAAGGACAGAGTCTAGGCACACAGACCTGTGGTCTGTCACAATTCCTCCACTAAATACCAACTTAATGACTGAGCCTCAGTTTCCTTATCTGTGATACAGCACTAATAGAGGATTCCGCCTCCCAGATTGCAGTGAGGACTAAGTGCTCTGGCGGCGTCCAGTGCTCAGCTCCAGCGAGCCTGGCGGACGTTTTGCAGTAGATGAATGGAGCTGTGTTTTCGCTGTCTCCACTGGAGACAGGATGGCTCCTGGGCCCATTTCTGCCCATCTTCCCCCAACAGATTATCGCAATCTGACCTTTGACCCGGTCAGCGCCAACCGCCACCTCTACCTGTCCTGCCAGGATCAGCAGGTGAAGCACCGTCGCCAGCCCCGGGATCCAGTTGGCCCAGACAGCTTCGAGCTCTGGCAGGTGCAGTGTGCTCAGAGATTCCAGGCCGGGCGGCACTACTGGGAGGTACACACCTCGAACCACTCGGTGACTCTGGGCATCGCCTACCCACAACTGTCGCGGCGCAAGCTGGGACCCCACACGGACAACATTGGTCGTGGCCCCTACTCCTGGGGGCTCTGTGTCCAGGAGGACAGTATCCTGGCCTGGCACAATGGGGAGGTCCAGCGCCTCCCAAGGATGACAGGGCGACTTCTGGGCATGGACTTGGACCTGGCCTTGGGCTGCCTCACCTTCTACAGCCTGGAGCCCCAGGCCCAGCTCCTGCACACCTTCCACGCCCTCTTCACCCAGCCCCTCATCCCCGTCTTCTGGCTCCTTGAGGGGAGGACCCTCACTCTGTGCCATCGGCCCGGGGCCACGCTCCCTCCAGAGCTCCAGGAAGAAGCCTCAGCACTTAGCTGAGGAAGGGTGGCGCTCTCGGCCAGGGTCAGGGCCACCACACCTGTGTGCCTAAGCGCTGCCCAGCCCCAGCCTGGGGCCTGAGGCCATAGCTGGAACAGGACCAACTGTTGGCCTCTCTGTTGACTCAGGAGAGGGGGAGAGAGGCTGAGCATAAACCCTGAGTTAACTTTCCCAGCCCCTTCAAAGGGGACAGGATCTAGGAAGGGAGTAAAGACTGAAGCCCCCACCCCAAGCAGAGCAGTGACCAGGGGACTTCTGGGCTTACAGGACAGTGTGCGCAACAAGATAATACAGATCAGCCCGAGTTTGCGTCCCACAGAGACCAAGGGAGCAAGCAGTCCGTGTGCGGGAACGCAAACCACGGCAATCCCAGGGGAAAACAGACCTCTACCTCCTCCCTCCCTCTTTTCTTTCTTTTTTGGTAGACTTTAGTCCTGTCTTCTTTTTTATTTTGTGCATTCTTTTTTTTTTGAGTTGGAGCCTCACTCTGTCGCCCAGACAGGAGTGCAGTGGCCGCTCCCGGCCACCGCAGCCTCGACCTGCCGGGCTCCGGCGATCCTTCCGCCTCAGCCTTCCAAGTAGCTGGAACTACGGGTGCGCGCTACGACACCCGGCTGGTTTTTTGATTTATTGTAGAGATGAGGTCTTGGCAAGTGCCCAGGCAGGTCTCCAATCTGCGGGCTCAGGCAATCCACTCACCTCAGCCTCCCAAAGGCGCGGGATTACGGGCTGAGCCACCGAGCCCGGCTATTTTGTGCGTTCTTGTAAACAGTAGTTTTGTTTTCTGCATTAAAATTAATTATTTTTTCTTAGAGAGAGTCTCGCTATATCAGCCAGGCTGGACTCCAACTCTTAGTGATCTTCCCACCTTGGCCTCCCAAGTAACATAAGCATTTTTCATATGATTAAAAATTTTCCCTGAATGATTATTACAGTCATTCTAATGACTATTAAATTTATTTATGCATTATTAGACATTTAAATTGCTTTATTTTTAGCTATAGAATATTGCTGTGATGATTGTTTTTGAGCAGGAAGCTTCATCCACAATCGTGGTTATATACTTAGGCTACATGACCTAAGTGAGTTACTTCTCAGGAAACGATTAGCACTTAGACTTTTTTTTTTTTTGAGTTGGAGTCTCACTCTGTCGCCCAGAGTGGAGTGCAGTGACCACTCCCGGCCACCGCAGCCTCGACCTGCTGGGCTCTGGCAATCCTTCTGCCTCAGCCTTC